ACACACAGACACACACACACACACACAGACACACACACACACACACAGACAGACACACAGACAGACACACACACACACACAGACACACACACACACAGGCACACAGGCACACACACACACACAGGCACACACAGGCACACACAGGCAGACACAGGCACACACAGGCACACACAGGCACACACAAACACACACACACACACACACACAGAGACACACACACACACAGACACACACACACACACACACACACAGAGACACACACACACACACAGCACACACATACACACCGACCGGAGCTCGAAAGAGGTAGCATTCGAATATTTTCGGTGGTTAGACTGAAAATTCTTCGACTGCGGTGTCGGCTTCGGCGTCAGCTTTGACTTTGATGATTGTCGCTGACATGGCGAGCCCCACATCCGGCCGCATGCAGGTGCAGAAGCGCGATATCTGGAGTGCATCTGGGCTGCAAGGAAAATTTCGCTGGCCTGCAGCGCAGTTCGGCTTCAGGTCGGCACGATCTTGTATGAGATGCTCGCAGGTTGGGAAAACCGGGTCAGCACTTTGCAAAAGTGTGGAGTGGGAGCCGAGGCGCGCAGCTCTTTCCCACCACGGAGGTGCGGGTGCACTCCACTCTCACGCTGCGCGCCGCCCGGCTGTTGAGCTGCGGAGGCGCTGTGTGGGCTGCCGGAGGCCACGAACCCGAGCTACGCCGGGCGGCCAGAGGAAGCGGGAGAGAGGAGAAGCGGCTGCGCCCGCTGCGCTGTGCTCCGCTCTGAGGTGCCTTCCCGACTGCGGGCGCTCAGCGCCTCGGAGCAGGCGAGCCAGCGGCGGACCTGCGGTGGACGGGAGCGAACCCTCACGGAGGCCCGGGATCTGCTGGCGAAGATGTTGGAGCCCAGCACCGACCGCCGCATCGCGGCACAGGAGGCTCGCAGAGGGAGAGGGAGAGAGATCAGAGAATCCCTAGACCTTGAACCTTCCGCAGCAATGCCTGCCTTGTGCGAGTGTGTGAATCGAACCGCAAAACCCCTCACCCGAATGCCGGCCCAACCCACCAAAAGACGGACGGGTGCGAACTTTGTTGGGTCTGGATTTTGGGGGCGAAACAATGGGGGGAAACCCCGTCAGCCCGACGGCCCCAACACGCAGTAAATCCAGGCCCGGAATTTTTTGGGGTGGGTTGGGTCGGGGTCGGGGGGGGAGATTCTCTCGGTTTAAGGTTTCGGGCCTTGAATTTAGGTTTAGGGATCCCACTGAGATTTATATGCGCAGGAAACCTTCCTTCTGCGAGATTCTCGCATCGAATCCTGTCGCAGACTGTACTTTGCCTTGGGGCCCCTGGCAGGATATGCGTACACAAACATTCTGAGCTTCTTAGAAGGTTAGAGAAGCGGAGGGCACCAAAACCAATAACAAACGTTCTCGTGAGACGACGATCAAACCGGCTCCTCATCAGGCGATGGCGGTGGTCGCATTTCTAAACCTGTTTTGCCGCATCTCCAAACTCCCGCCGCCTCATTAGGCCATGGCGGTCGATGAAGCGTTTTGGCTTGCAAACCGTCGTGCCTCCTCAGCAAGTTATGGCGGTGGATCATGGCATTTCCTAAACTGGACCCCCAGTCAGCGATGGCATTAGATTGACCGATGCCTCGACAGGCGACTGTCATTGATCACATGACTGAAAACCGGGCGCTTATTCGGCAATGCCGGTTTGGTGATAGACAGACGATAGCCAGATCTTCTTAACTCCACCTCTCATCAGACGAGGCAGTTTATCGCGTTTCCTAAACCCGGCCCCTTCTGAGGCCATGGCGGTTAATCTTCACTTAAACCGGCCCTTCTTTGTGGCGAGCTCTGTTGATGACACGTGTCGTGAACGGTCCGCTCGCATGGCGGTTGATGACATTCATGAACCCCGCCCAAACCCCGCCCTCCTGAGGCCCTGGCCGTGAATCTTGAACGTTCTTGTGGAAAACCTGGTGGATCGCACATGTCTTAAACGGCACCTTCAAAGACGATGACGGCCGATCACACTCATTAAGCCAGCCGCCTCATTAGGCAATGGCGAAGGTTCACTTTTTTAAATGTTGCCCCCTCATCAGACGATGGCAGGTTATCACGTTTCTTACCCCTGGCCACTACTTACGCCATGGCGGTTGATCCCATGCCTCAACCCCTCCTCTTTTCTAATCTGGTGATTGTTTCGCCGTCGTCGTCGTGTTGCTGGCCTGTTGTTGGCTTTTGGTCGTGCATGTGTTTCGCCATGGTCGTCCTCATTGTGTATAGTCTGCCCTCGTGGTTGTTAGAATTGAACGTTCCGTCCCAAGGCTTGCAAGTGACGCGCTTGCTGGTTACCGTTGTGGGACCGAAACTGCCCCTGGCCCCCCGAAACTAGGAAACCTCGGGCCCCCGAACTGACCGGCTCGTCCTTTCGTTGGAGGGAAAAGAATCTTGAAAAGAACGTCCGGGTTTGTTCCGAAACTCGGGCCCGTAACTCCCAGAGATCCGAATCTACGCAAAGATCAGCAACGCATAGAGTGCTGGCTTCTGGACTGGTTGAGGCTTTGCAGCACCCGTTGGTGGTGCAGTCCTATGCCTTGGCAGCTTCTGAGGCACGTCCTGTTGGCACACGTAGCCCTCAACGCCGTGACGGCGTCACCAACGGCTCACACCACGGCTCATGGCAACTGATTCCCAGAACTATGCAGAGATACACATGCGGCGGGACCTGTTGTCCTGGCTTTCTGCGGAGGCTTCGCTCTTCGAGGGCACTGCCGCGGCCGGCGTCGGCTTTGCGGGCGTCGGGCTCGCGTCGCTGACGAGCCGCCGACGCCGCGGCCTTTTTCGAAGCTCCGTCGCGAGCCCACGCGCCCGCAGCGCGGTTTCTCTAAGGGCGGCTGGCCGGCTGCGCGGGGGGCCCCTGGAACAGAGCGGAAGAGTGGGAGCGGAGGAAGATGAGTCCAAGATGAGGGGAGATGCCATAGGGCATGGGGGACGTCGTCGTCGTCGTCGCGGGAGACACGGCCGCTAGCGGCCGCCTTCTTAGGTCCCCGCGCTGCGGGCCTTTGCGAAGGCGCCTCGGCTCAAGCGACTCGCCGGGCACTCAGAGCAGCGGAGCGACTTCAGAGACTCCACAGACACGCNNCCCCCCCCCCCCCCCCCCCCTGCATGTGCGGGACACACTGCATGGCACGCTTATAACTAAGGTGCGCATTTGTCCAGAGATTTCTTCTTCCCGTCTGTTTTGCTTTGTTTTTCTTGATCAAGACACCAGAAACCTGAGAAGATTTCAGAGCTCTGTGTCGGCCTGCGCAGGCCCTGCTTGTCGCGGCCCATTTGTTGGGCGATGAGGCAGCACAGCTCGCCGGGCACGTCACACAGCACTCACAGCACTGTGCTGTGCAGAGGTTGGGGGCCTGCGCTGGCTTTTCCGATTCCTCGCGCGAGATGCCTGGTTGGTGGAGGACGCCTGAGGAGAGCAAAGGCAAGGCAAAGAGCAGAGAGCTGACTTGTGAGACGCTCTCCAAACGCGTCTGTTAACAATGGACTCATCGGAGAGTCTAGAACCCTGACTTCGCTTCAATCTCCCTATGGTGTTCACAACTGGCAACCAGCGTCCTTCAACAGTCCTTCAAGACATCGACCCGACAGGCAAGACTGACAAAACCTTTTCTCTTTCAACTGGTGGTCGTCGAAATGCTATTGCATTGGTTTGTGTGACCGGTGCGCGAAGCTCCTCAGCAAGTTCAACCATACCGCCAGCATCCAGCGGCAGCCAGTTTCAGATGCGCACAGTGCCTTTGCAGGCCTGCATAAATATTCACAAGATGCACGAGCAGAGAAGCGGATAGATTGCTATGCAATTATGACCAAGCGGCGTGCGTGTGTGTGTGTGTCTCTCTCTCTCTCTCTCTCGGTATACATTTGTATACGCAACTGAGAACTACGCTGAAGCGTTACGCTCAGGCCTCCCGTGCTTATATGCAAGTCGAGGCCATGCGCCACAGCGCGTGGGCAAGGTGTGATCCGAGGTGCTCGATCGCTGTCGCTGCGGGCCACTTTCCAGCTTGGAGCATCCGAAGTTGGCGGAGGGAGGGGAGAGCAAAACCACTGCAGACTTCCAGCGCGCGGACGGGGGGTCTGAGCCAACGGGCATAGAGTCTCACCGTCTCACCTAAGAGTTTAGTTCTATAGGCGAAGTCGCTTCAAGTCGCGGTCAGGGGCGTCCGTCGATGTGCCCTGTCAGAGGAGTCCGTCTTCGCCTCGGCGCTGCGGGAGGCTGGCGAGGAGCTTCCGAAGGACGCTTCCGCGGCGCTGCCCATTTGTTCTTTTGGTGTCGGAGTGTCACTTAAAGCGTTCTTTTTGCGGCTTTCCAGGGAGCTCGTGCTGAAGCGGACAACAGCTTTGCACAGGGTCATGTCAGCAAAGGGATAAAATCATCGTAAAGTTTCTTGCGTCTCCTTTTGGCACCGGGATGCACCGTGCCACTGCCACTGGCCACTGGGCAGGACTTTTCGATGCTCTTCCGATGCGCTGATCTTTCAGGCGGCGGGGGTGCTCTGTGATTCAGGGCATGTCCCTTTCATCGTGTCCGCGGCGTTTCTCTCTGGTGCATTTCCGGATGTCGTGGTGCTCAGAGCTTTCTTGACAGAGCTTTCCGTTCTCATGGCCCGCGAACGCACCCGCATCCCGGCCGCCGGCCTTCCTTTGTCGATTGGAGTCATTGAGGAGTCTCCCCAGTGGTTTCTCCAGCTCAGTCCGATCCAGGTTCTCTCCCAACTTTTTGGAGGTGTCTCCATCCCTAAGTTTGTCCCGCCGTCTTGCTGCCGACATAAATATTAGACAGGACCTCCCAACCTTTGTCAAGCAAGTGGATACGGCACACCCCGATCGCACAGACGGGCCGGCAGTGACAGCCGTCACCAGACGGGCCAGAACCCGAAGAAGCAACAAAGCCTGAGTCCGCGGACTGCTTTCGTTGAACTCACTTTGCAGGCAACAAAGAACAAGTCAAATTCGAATCCACTCGCTTCGCATGTTGCATTACGATCAGGCTGGACGGACGCAACTGCTGCACAGTTGCTAACTTTGCCAGTCAGCAGAGGAGAGGCAAGCTTGAGTCAGAACACTGTGGCGCGACTCAGAAGATCGAAGAGATGTGCATCGCGCAACACACTGGTGGAGATCTGCTTAGCGTAAGCGGTTCTCAGCGCCAGACGTGAGGGTTTCCGAGCTGTCGTCGCAGACTGCTGTGGCGGATTGGATCTGTTCGGAGTGCGGTGAGAAGTCGGGCTTGCTTTCTGGGAGAAGTTGCAGCGGGGGGAAGGGAAAACTCCGCAGGTTCGGGAGCCTTGAACTTCGTGGAGTTCATGGCCGCAATGATGGCCAACTTGCCGGAGGTCTACTGCAGCCACTCCTCTTTGAAGGCCGCGCTTGGTGGCGGGTCCCACAAGCCCGAGACCTTCCGCGTTGAGTCCTGAGTCCTGCAGGCAGTCTTCCACTTCTTCGACAGCAGCGGCCATGGCATCATCCGAGGAGATCACCTGCACCTCCTCTTCCCCGCAAGGTGGCAGCAGGGGCAAAGAGAGAGAGAGAGAGAGACTGCATGGGGCACGGTCACACTTAAAGGGGTCTATGCGGGAGAGAGAAAGAGAGCAGCGCGCGCCGAGCCGAGGCCGGAAGACGAGTGCGCTTTGATGATCCGCCAGAGCTGCGGGAAGGACACGGGCGACACGGGACGGGTCCCCGGGACCCGGCCCAGGGGCCCAGACCGGAGAAATCCCAAACTGCGTGCGACGGCGTGCGACTGCTGCGGAGCTGCCGCGAGCCGCACGCGGCCGCGGAGGACTCGATGAGCTTCGTGGACTTTCAGCGGGTGATGACGCCCGCGAACTGGAAGGCGCCCGCACGCTGTCACAAAGCCCTCTGTGACTTTGCCCTGCCCAGCCCTCCGGCTCGCTGGCCAAGTGGGCCGATGTTCCGGTGACGGCCTCAGCTCTTTAATCGACGGCTTCTCTTTTGTCTTTGTGCCTGGCCGGGTCACAGGACGTGACGAGCCCCGTCCTGGGGCCCAAGCCCAAGCTCTTGAAGGACGCCGGCTCCCGGCTCGGAGCGAAGTCCAAAGCACAGCCACAGGAGCAGCAGCGTGGCTCCTCCTCGGATCCCGAGCGGGAGTGGCAGGTGCCGTGGCGTTGAAGGGGGCTCGAGGCAAGTGCGGTGGCGCCTGCAGGTGACGAGCAGGGTCACCTCCACACCTTCGGAGGTGAGGCCTCTGAAGATCGGATCTCTCTCGTCTCTCGCGTCTCTCCAACGGCCGCGGCTGCGGGTCGTCAGAGTCCGAGGCCTTCGCGATCCGTCAGAAGCCGGGCTTCCACCGCAAAGCGCCCGAGACTCGCGGTGAGCTGCGAGCTGCGAGCTCTTAAATGCAGAGCAGAGCAAAAGCATCGGCTCAGGCTGCGGCCTTTCTACGCAGCGCAGCCCGTCTCCAACGTGGTGCCTGGGCCGTTTTTTCACCGCCCCAGCAGACGATGGTCCCCGACCGCCAAGTCTGCCCCACCTAGCGAAAGGCTTTGTTTTGTTGCAAAATGGACCTTTGTGCCTAACGAGGCGACGGGATACAGTGCAGGCAGGTCTGAGGCTTCAGGCGACGTGCCTGCGCGGCAGAAGACAGGAGTTGGGCCGTTTGACTAGCTAGTGGCCGGTCAAGCTTTGGCAAGAGGGGGCCGTGTGCGGCTGTGTGGATTGTTTTTGCCTCATGCTCTCTTCTCTCTCAGAACGAGACGTCTCTTCTTCTTCTCTTCTTCTCTTCTTCTGTCTCTGTTTTCAACACTCTCTGAGACTCCGAGGTGCTGGGCCTGGCCTCGGGCAGCTCCGGCTACGCCCGGCGCGCCCAGCAGCTGCGCTGCACGCACCTAGCGCCCGCCTCGGAGACGCCGCCGCCGTCTGCAGCCGCAGCGACTCCGAGCGCAGGTGGAGAGCCTCGAGGAGCAGTTTGGGGCCTTCTTCTTCATGCCCAACCCCAAGTACCACTGGACACCCGAGGCGCTCCCCCCACACCATGCATGCTCCGCGCCATGCTCTGCGCAGAGCAGAGCGCGGTGTTTTTCTCTACCTCTTTTTCCTCTCTTCTCACAGGCCGCCTTCAACGAGGAGCGCAAGGCTAGCAGGGCACCCCGCGGGCAGAGTCTGGCAGTCTGGCGCGGCTGCGCAGAGCTCCAGGCGCGCTTCGTGGCCTGGTGGATCCACCCGGAGCTCTGCCGGGGAGCCCGGCCGCGGAGCCGCGGAGCCGCCGCGCGAGAAGCGCAGAAGCGCAACCGCTCTCGCCGCTCTCCGCTCTCCGCTTTCGCTTCAAGGCCCGATGCTGCGAGCCTGGTCCCGGCCTCACAGAGCACAGAAGCGGAAGCTTCTCTGGGGTTTTTATAAACAAGGAATCGGAATTGTATGCGGAGGAAGTTAAGGCGGCTTTGGGATTAAATATATGTGGAGCGGGAGGAGATGAGGACACGGCGCACCAGCGCTTTTCAGGACCGGCCGCTGCGGCACGAGCGAGGACGAGGGCCGCGAGGGCGAGAGCAGCGGTCCGAAGAGCGACGGAGGCGGAGGCGCGCCCTTCCTTTCAGCGCGGAGCATGTTTTTTTCTGCGCTTTTTCGGCAGGTGCCAACACCGAGGCGGGCGCCGGTGGCCCAGCTAAGCGGCCGCACCTGCAGGGCACTGCAGGGCAGAGCAGCAGAGCAGAGCAGCAGGGCACTGTATCCGCGGCGGCAGTTTTTCTGAGAGGTGGGAGCCCCGGGAGACTTCGGCTACTCTCAGATGCTGAAGCCGCCGGCTTAGATGGAGATGGAGAGGGACAGCCGCGCGCGGCTCTGCTCTCGCACTCTCCTGCAGGAGACCTTAAGAGGTGACTGTAAGTTGCAGCCGGGAAGAGGCGTCCTCGCCTGAAAGAAGAGGATCCCCAAAAAATCCCCCGCTATAGGGCGACAACTCAGAGAGGAGGGAGCTGAGCAGCTGAGACTCCACCTCTCTTATACCCGCAGGCCGCGGGGCCGGGCCGGGGGAGATCGCAAATCCCCCCACCCCGAAGATCTGCGGCCGGTTAGCCACGTTTCTGCACAGTTAGAGTATCTCCATCGCCGAGATATCGGCAGAGGTGGGCCTGGCGTGGCCATTTGCCATCCTCTCATGTGCTTTGCTTGGACATGGGTTTCACTTCATCTTGATGCTCTCTGCGCTCGAAACACTACAGGGGTTGACTCCCGAGACATCTTCCGAGTCCTTCCGTTCGTCGGAAGACCTTGAACGATGCTGCTCGTCTTGTGGTGGTTCCAGTATTCTAGTAGCACAGGCAAATCTGAAACGGGTGTATGCCATCCTCCAAGCCACTGCTGCATGGTCAGATTTGCCTAGCGGTTGAACAACCATGTATTTGATGCCTTCTGACTGTTGCTCATCTACTTTCAGTTGTTGGGGAACAAAAAGTGAAGGAGAAGTGAGAAGTGATTCAAGCCAAGGTCATTGAGATAAGAGGGGCTGAAAACGGACAATTGCGTGCAAGAACGCGTGGGGTTAGGCAGAGATTCTGCGGCTGATGAGAAAGTACTACAGTATTGTCGTTTCTCGAGATGGATTTGTAAAGGCGAAAACTGCTCGAAGACTTCCTCGCGAGCATTCCTTCACGGTCACTTAGAGATAGCTTCTGATCGTGTCTATTGTTCGTGGTTTGTAAAATTACAATGTGGTGCTGACGAGTGTTACCCTGTACGTACAGATCATAGACGATCGCGTTTGTGGAAGTTGAACGAAGCCATGCGCGGACTCAAGCAAAGTTGTGAGAACATTTCGCTGCTGTTACAAAGTGCATTGAGAGTTCGGCGCTTCAAAAGTGAAAGTCAGGAGCAATCGCACCCTGTCTTGAAGCAGTCTCAGTGAGTTGTGTCTTGGCTTATGTCGACCATCTTTTGCTTGTTGCCGAGCATAATCGTGATTTTGGGCGAGTTGATCTGTTTTTCGGCCGCTTTTCTTGACGGTAAGATTGAGAGCGGGGCAAACAATTCGCATGGTGACTCAATTCTCCCGCAGCGCTCGTCATATCACGTCTTCTGAATCTTCTGTCTTTCGTCTAAGTCTGGTGTCCCCCTCTGCTATTTCTTGAATTTTGTGTCTTTCTCCCTCTCTCTTTCTGCCTTCTCTCCCCTTTTGACCTGACGAGGGGTGATGCCTTCAGCATCAGGCATCGCCCCACACGGCCACAGGGGGCATCAGCTGAAAGTGCTTGTGCCCTCAGTCGGCTGTGCGTATGTGTTTGTTTGACCACCCCTACCCCCCCATGCGCCATCTCTGAGCCAAGTGTCCCAGCTTGGTACTGCGGTGAGGGCTCTCTTGTCTTCCCGAGCAGCTTGATTTCCCTCCTTTCTCGTTTTCTTCTTGGCTCCAACTTCCGAACTCTTCTCTATGCATCTACGGCAGACACAGGTCGTCGGACTACTTGCACACCTGCCGGGATCTATGTGGAGCCACACATGTCAGGCTCGGGAAACTAGTGCAGCGCGTCTCGAGTGTTTGAGCCGAGAGCCGCCCTGCAGCGCCAGCAAAGGATGCTGGAGGCGTTGGTGCAAGGGATCAAGACGTACTTGGAACGAATGCGCGGGCTCTCAAAAATTCAGAAGTAGATGACAGGTAGTCTTGTGCAGAGTGCGACAAGCATATGTGTAGCGATTCTCGGTGGCCATGGCTTTAGAATCTGCAGCGTCCTCCAGCAGAACATCATGGTCTGTGTGGATGTCTCTGTGGCATGTACCGTTGCGCACGGTTTCCTTCGGCACAGCCTGCGATTCACGGAAGTCTGTGCCGAGGTTCGGTGATGCTCTCGCAGCAGCTCACGTGTCAGCAGGCTTCCACTATCCAGCCCCAAGCTCGGACAGAGCGAGGCAGCGTCTCTGCTCAAACCTTTCCTCGCTTCGAAGGGGAGGCTTCTCGAAAGCCAGCAGCATTGTGCAGCAGAGCAACGTTTTTTTGAAGACTTTGAACGCGAAGACAGGAAACACCGCATCGACAACAAGCAAGCATAATAGAAGGCACCGATCAGAAGCGAACATGCTTAACTCATGCTCCAAGTAGAAGATGAGTTCGACAAAAACCCAGATCGCCAAATACATTCACGCAGCGAGAATGAAGCCTCGCAGCGGACCTCATGTTTGTACATGAAAAGCGTTGGGAGTTACAGCCCATGTGTTGAAAGCGCCTTGAACCCCAAGAGCGCTGCCATCTTTAGAATGAACCAGGGCATTCGCCGGAAATGAAACCGCCTCTCTGGGCAGTCGAGGTGCTCTAAGAGTTCGATTGAGAGACGGAGACGGAGCGGAGAGAGACGGAGAGGGAGAGACGTGCGTGACCGACCTGAGGTGCGGCCGCAGTACAGCACGTTGCATCTGCAAATCCGGGTGAACGCTGGCGACGTGTGTCCAGGCCCGGGGGCCCAGCGGGGGCCCAGCGGAGCCGAGCCGAGGGCGGAAAGTCGCTGTTTTTGCAGACTCCGAGGCGAGGGCCGCGGCGTCGACCTCTTCAGGCCCACGGAGAGAGAGCACAGGCAGAGAGGGTCACGGAGAGCGGCACGGCAGAGTTCAGAGGAAAATGCTCTTCAGTGCTTCCTCTTGCTTCGCGTGTCAGCGAGGCTGCAGAACCGGTTGAAGTGTGACCCCGAGTGCTTCCAAAGAGACGACGAGACGCTCTTCTACGAGGTGAGGGAGTGGGGGCCGGGGGCGTTCCTGCACTGCAAACACAGACACGAGCCTCGCCTTAGGCCACGGCGAACTTGAGGATGGCCCTCTTGAAAGCCTGCGACAAGGCCCGGCCCTGCGCTGCATCCACACCGCCCCAAAACACGCGAATCGCGGCTCCGCGGCTCCCCGCCCCGTCCCCGCTTAGGCGCCGAGCTCCTGTCGAGAGGTGGGGCCCAAGAGTTTGGTCTTGGGCGAATGAAGCCGACAGAAAACTCCGCTCCCTCCATGCATGTTTCTCCCAAGTTTGAGGTCACTCTTTTGGGCGTGGCCCCAGGCTTGCCCTAAATTCGCACCGCCCGGCTGCGGGCCACGGCTGCAAAACTCTCTCGGGCTTCCGAAAAAGGGGCCATGGGCCAAGGACCCGAACGCTGTAAGCTGCAACACAGCAAGCCTCACAAATGGACCACCTTCATGCAATGGGGCCCCCCTTTTCGAGACTTCCTGCTCGAGGGCGCAGTCCTTTCCCTGATTTTTTAGAGGGCACCCATTTGGGGTCTCCGATGAATTAGGCTTTTCAAGGCCGCACAGGCTTGGGGAGTCGCTGAAAGCGCACAATCCGCCTTGCAGGGGAGTTTCCACGGACTTCCTCCTCTTTTCCGGAGGAGTTTTGTTTGGGCACTCGAGACTCTCGAGAAGTCCCGCCCCCCCCCCCCGCCCCCCCAGCAAAGTGCGCCGTTGCAACGGCGCCCTGGTACGGATGCCAGAGGCCCGTGCCTCGGACAGGAGAAGAGGAGAAGAGGAGAGCGTAGCGGCGTAGCGGCGTAGCTGTGATGGAGCTCGAGTCGCTTCGATGCGCTTCGCTGAGGCTCAGAGTCCAGCCAGCATCGCGAGCGGCGGCCCGCGACCCAGACGAGGGTTTCAGAAGAGCCGCGAGGCTGAGGCCTAGGCGGAGCTTTCAGAGCTTTCGCGGCTTTCTCCGCGAGGCATATGCGCGTTCGAGCTGCGCCTGTACATATTCATCTCCTCTGCCTGAGACGCCTTTAAAGGGCCCTCGCGGAGCTTGCAAAGTTGCAGTCCGCGGAGCCACGAGTTTCACATGTACAGTCGGAAGCGACGCTCGAGGGGCCGCTCCCCTACGTAGGGGAAGCGGGAGAGGGGCCGTTTTTAGCTTTTAGGCGTATTTAGGTCTCTTGGCCTAGGCAGAGAACGCAGACAGTCTTCGAAGTGGTTGGCGGCCGTGTCCCCGAGGGTCGCCGCTTCCTCGCAATTCGCGACACCTGCGCGTGCAGGCACCGACGGAGCCGCCTCGCGAGCCGCGAGGCGTCATGGAGTTGACCGCTGCACCCGACCAAGGAAAACCGGAGAAAATACCGGACCGCCGGCCCCTTTTAAGCTCTGGGGGAGGCCGCCTCGAGGCCGCGCGATCTATAGGGCGGATTCTACGAAGAGATAAAGATTTTCGCGAGGCTCTTATACAGGTGAGGTTTTTTGCTGTGCGGTTGACGGCTGCGACCCACCGCGACCTATAGCGACCTCTCGGGACCCGGGGAGCGAGGCCGAAGCCGAAGACGCCGAAGACGCCGATGTGACGCCGAAGAGGTGACGCGCGACGCGGCGCTGCTTGGTGAACCCTGCAACTGCAGCCGGGCCGGGCTCAGCTGAGTGCTTGAAGGAGCGCCCTCAGCCTCTTGGTTGTCACTTTAAAGCGAGTTCCTTTCTAGAGATTGAGAACTCCGCCCCGCAACAGTCCCCTCTCAGAGAGTTTACAAGTCTGGTGGATTGGCGAGATTTGCAAAAATCTGTCGTTCTGGCCGGCCTATTTTGAGCGCATGGGCCCCCCAGGTTCCTTTTTGGTTGTGCAAGGATTCCATCGCGGGAGGTTGCTGCGTCTAAGGACCTTCACAGCTGCTCCTACGTTCATTGCTGCTTCTTTTGGATTCTCGGATTGTCCTCGTTGGATGCAGAACTCATGTTTCCACGTGGTCCCCACTACTGCAAGGCACATTCTGACACTCCGCTTCAGTTCAGGCCGACTCCGAGCTGTCGATATCATCGCTACGCAGTGCCTTCTTCGAACTTCGAACACCCACGGAGTCTCTCTTTTTCGGCATTTTCGGCGCTCCCCGAACCGAAGCAGGATGCATTGTGAGGAGGTTGTCACCTCAACACCCACGGACCAGTGCTACAGCATCTAGGCATTGCCATCTGCTGTTTACCTTCCTTTGAGCTCAAAGGAGAAGAACTCGACTGAGATGTTACAGACTTACCGGTAGCACGCCATAAAGATGGGACCTCAGAGTGAAGCACATGACAACGGATCGAGCTGGGGCGCAACCATCGAAGCGCGGAGAGATACGGGGCCTGTGTGTTGGCCCACTGCCATGGATTGGGCATCGCTCTTTGCCCTTGCAGACGCAGGCGTGGTGGTGGATTGCCCAGACTTGGAAATCATAGGCCTGTGACCGCCTTTCACCCCCGGTGTCAACGCTCTGTTCTGAAAGCTGCATTTCCCGCACTCTGATGCCAGGCCGTGCAGCCTGTGATGTTCTTAGCTGGGCCAGGTGGCAAGTTTGCAGATTGCGCCAGTTGCCAAAAGGATCCAGAAGCAACGATGCCAAGCTTTCTAAGGTTACACAGGCCAAGCCGCAGCAGTTTTGCAGCTTTGTGTGAGCATTGTCAGCACCTGCAAGCGTTACCTTGTTTGTGTCGAGTCTGATCGCGAAGTCAGATGTTGCAGACTGGTAGCGATTGATAGTTGCACGGCCGGCCCATGCCATGATGCGTCACCGGTTCCAGCCACAGGCAATCCTGCAGAATCAGCACAAACCGCAGGCTCTTCGTGCGCAGGCCGGAGTTGTGTGTGTGCAGGATTTGCCTTCGTGTAGCGATGGCTTGGAAGTGCTGAAGCCTGTTTCTGTCCCGGACTGTCCTCCACGGTCTATGGCCCGTTGCTAAAATCTAAGGGGCTTTAGGTTTGCCGTAATCTGGAACAAGATCAGACGGGATGATGACATGCTCAGCGTGGGTGGGGACGGTCCCACCGGCCACCGGCACTTCTGCTGCCTACCAGCTTTCCGCAACATATTGCCTAGTGCATGTCAAGAATGCCTCTGTTCTGACACCCAAGTGTCCTGCAGCCAGTCTCTGCCGTGGCCTAAGCTATGAACACGAACGCTCCCATGCTTAGCCGCATGAAGCTCAGCATAAGACATCTGGGGTCTTGTCTTGTTCCTGTCAACATTGGTACTGTAGTATCGCATGTGTTTGTGTAGCCTTCCATGCTATGTAGCAGTCAGGTAACAGTGTTCGAAACATCAGCGACCCAGCTATCACTCCTCTTCCGCAGTTTGAGCCAATAATCCGATGTCCAGCCTCATGAAGAAGGTATTGGAAGCTGCAGACAGCCTGGGTGTACTTTGGATTGCTGTTGATGAGCTGCGCCACGTCCTTACCCAGATACCCTGGTTCCCAAATACTGGGACGGTATTT